CGAAGACTTAGGGAGCCCAGAGGAAGCCAGAGTGGGTTAAGGAAAGAGAAGAATTTTCCCCACAACTGTGGGGAAAACTAGCCAGAAACAAAAGGGACATAAGAATTCTTTGTTGTGTATTGTTCACAAAATATGCGAAAAATGACTACAAAACAGTCAGGGGCTCTTTTTTCCCCACAATTCCTGGAAGAAAGGTTATGAAATGTTCTTACATCATCGGCCTCACCGCCCAATCCCAGATGAGGCTCAGGTTGTACGGAGCGGTGTGAGCGTGCAGCACGGGAATGGGTGGGCGGTGGGGGTTCTAGTTTTTAACTTGTTTTCTTTTTTGCAGTGGGGTAGGGAGGAGGCATACAATTAAATACATGACACTGGCAGCACTAAATCGTCACATAGGACACTTCAGCTTGATGATGCAATCTTGGATGCAAGAAACCCCAAGATTTTCAACAATATATCCTGACCATGCACACCCAGAAAAACAGAGAACCATGGGACTCCCCGGAGGAGACAGATCCTATATAATAAGAGGCTAATATGCAAATCGAAAGAATGGCAGAACAATTGGTTGCTCTGATGCACACTGACCACCAGGGGGCAGATGCTCAATGCAGGAGCTGCCCCCTGGTGGTCAGTGTGTGGGAGCACCACTCAGCCAGAAGCCCTGAGCCCGGCTCACGGCTGGTGAGAGCAGTGGCGGTGGCGGGAGCCTCTCCCACCTCTGAGGCAGCTCTAAGGATGTCCAACTGCTGGCTTAGGCTCGCTCTCAATGGGGACGGGCCTAAATTGTCAGTCGGACCTCCCCCGAGGGCTCCTGGACTGCGAGAGGGCGCAGGCTGGGCTGAGAGACACCCCGCTTCCCAGTGTACAAATTTCGAGCACCAGGCCTCTAGTATATATATATATATAATCATGAACCCTCCTAAAAGAATAATAAAAAAAGAACAGAAGATATGGAGCACAGCCTTTTAAATAGAAACCACATTAACTAACATCTTAAAGTCAATACTAATTGTACTTACCAATGAGAAAGTTAACTAGTGGCAGTGGAGGCCATTCTCAGAAATATTTAAAGTCAAAAAGAGTCCCAGAATCACTGACAATCCTTCTGAAATAATGGCCAGAAAGGCAATTAAAGGAAAATAAGAGAAGCATCAGGACAAATCTGTGACTACCATTTAAACAAAAACACCAAGCATGTGAGCTTTTGACGATGGACTTCTAAGTGGCATCATCTTCATCTAGTCTCGTGCTGCTCAGTGATGTTTCGGTCAACGACGTTTCGGTCAATGACGGGCTACATATACCACAGGGTCCCATGAAGACTGTAACAGAGCTGAAAGATTCCTTTCACCTAGTGATGGTGCAGCCATCCTACAGTCATAGCACAACACATCTCTCACATGTTTGTGGTGGGGCTGGTACTGTGCTGAATCATGTGCAGTACATAATACTTGATAGTGGTAATAAACGACTATGTTATTGGTTTATATATTTACTATATTATACTTTTCTCATTGTTTTAGGATGTACTCTTTCTACTTACAAAAAATTGCTGCAAACAGTATACCTTGCTACACTGGCAGCAGCCTCACACTTCTTGTGTTTGCCGTGTCCCTGGGTTGCATCATTTTCTCTGAGTTAATCTTGTGTTGTTTTGTACAGTAACATGCTGTACAGGCTTGCGGCCTAGGAGTGATACACTATACGATGTGAGTTAGGTGCATAGTAGGCTGTGCCATCCAGGACTGGGTAAGTGCACTCTGTGAGGTTCACACAACAGTGAAATCACCTAACATCACACCTCGCAAAACGTATTTCAATCATTGTCATGTATGGCTGCATTGGAGAGTGTGTTCTTACTTCTTTTCTGATATAGATGATAGGAAGTCATTTGTTTATAGGTGCTGTTACTCTATACAACAAAATAAAAAACTTCCCTAAAATCCCTCAATGGAGGGTTTACAGAATGTAAAAATAGGTGCAGAATCCCTCGAAAGCTGGAGCTACACATTACTTTTGGTGGTTCGGTGTCTGGTACAGAGTAGGGACTCACTAATTTTCAAAGAAGAAATACATACTTGAAGACAGACACAACACCCTTTCTTGAATTATTGAAATCAATGGCATTCACTCAACAATCAAAACATATGGAGCATGTATTATGTGCCACACACTGTGTTAGACAGTAGCATGAAGTTATTAAAACAGAAGACAATGAATAAAACAATGTCATTAGTTTTTTTAATCAAGGCTATACACTATGTGGTTTTGAATATTCAGATTAAAGGTGTAGAAATGAGTGGACCACTTAGATTTTCAAAACCACTAGACAAGTGGCATCACATAATTGAAATCTGAAGGCTGGCTGAGATTTTTACTACAGGCATGCCTCATTGCACATTTGATTTCAGACCACAGCAATAAAAAGACTATTGCAATAACGTGAGTCTTGAGTTTTTGCTGGTGGAGGGTCTTGCCTTCCATTTGTAGAAAACACAACATCTGTGCAGCCCAATAAAGTGACACAGTGAGATGAGGTATGCCTGTATGCAGTTGGATGACAAAACATTCAAATGAGGCACATAGCACTAAACATGTGAATAGGCAGAAACATGTTCCCTTGCAAGCGTTGCTCATTTTCTAAATGCCTGACACCCAGCAAATAGTCTATAAGAAGCCGGTGCTTAAAAATCAACGTGTGCATATCCTGTTTGGGGAAACAGACTGCAGCATCGGGGTGTTTTCAGGGTTCTGCTCTGAAAGTTGGCCGCTGAAGGGCACCGGAATAAAACCAGCAGGTGGTTCTGAACACTTCGAACAGTACATACCTTTCTGAATAGGTAGAGATATGCAGCAGCAGACGGAGATAAAACAGCAGGGAAGACAGAAACCAGGCTAAATAGAGACATCCCCAAAGGAAAACTCAAAGGGAAAGCTCATTTGAAAAAGTGGGCTGAGAAGAGACGCAGTGGCCACAGATGAGGCTCCCGGTCTGGCCAGAAGAGCCGGGAGGCACAGTGATAACTTCAGCCAGGAAGCACCAGCAGAGGACAAACGCCCCAGCAAGGGACCTAGGCATGCCTGCCCTGCAAGGGTGAGCAGGTTCATCGTGGAAAGTGAGAACCACGAGCTGGACACTTCTTCAGGCAAGTATGTTAAAGACAGAACTAGAGGAGGATACAAGGTGAAACACTCCACAGTATTCTGGATGTTTTTTTCTACTCCAGCGACCAGGTCTCCCCTCCCAGCCTCCCTTCTCCTTTGCTAAGTCCCTTCAGCCAGGAAGCACCAGCAGAGGACAAACGCCCCAGCAAGGGACCTAGGCATGCCTGCCCTGCAAGGGTGAGCAGGTTCATCGTGGAAAGTGAGAACCACGAGCTGGACACTTCTTCAGGCAAGTATGTTAAAGACAGAACTAGAGGAGGATACAAGGTGAAACACTCCACAGTATTCTGGATGTTTTTTTCTACTCCAGCGACCAGGTCTCCCCTCCCAGCCTCCCTTCTCCTTTGCTAAGTCCAGTGATAATGATTAGATACTTTGGAATCAAAAGGGCTGTGCTGACGTGGGAAGAGGCCGAGGAGGCTGCAAGCGGAGTCCTTGCAGATACCACCCAGATTTCACCCTGGTCTCCAAGGCCGTGACAAATCCTAAGAGATTAAAATGACTTAAGAGACAGGGCATTCCCTAACCAAGGCACAGTGGAAACCAAGTGAGGGGCGAGGGAGAAAATGTGAAAATCCTAACAAGTGTGGCCTCCCAGAGTAGACCACTAGCAACTTTGTAGTAAAAGGAGAAGTTAAAAGCGCCTATGATCTTCTGCAGTGAAAAGTCATTTATTTCATGTTAAGCTTTAGTGCAATTAAAAGGGGGTAAAAAGGATTTAATATTACAAAAGGGAAAAAGCAACCATAAGAGAGTATATGATGGATATTCTTACCCTTTATATTCCCTAGAAAAAGACCACAAACACAAATGTTTGCAATTTGCTGAGGAGATCATTATTATTACTCCGGGGGGGGGGGGGGGGCAGGGAAGTTGGGGCAAGAATGAGAAAGTACCACCAGAGGCACATTCACTCTAACTTCTTATGCCAGGTCCCCAGCCACGATTCAGAGAGCTCTTTTGGAATAACATCTGATCCTATGCCCTCGTTAAAAGGAGTGTTTCTCTACAAATGAGCAGAGAAATCTTAGGATCAGTCCTGAAAGTCTTGTCACCTAAACGCTGGGTAGGCAGTTCTGCATAAATACTTGCAAGTTTGAACATTTTTTTCCTTCTGGGATCTAGGTACTGCGCCCATTTAGATGACCTGCGAGCTCTTTCTTGATCTCTGCGGACCTTACTCCATGGATTGGGCGTCGCGTCCATAGAAATTGTCAAGTTCCCAGGTGGAAGGCTATTGAGGCTGATGGGCCCCGTCATTCCAGAAGGATCAGGAATGGCATTTGGAGTTCAAGGTTGAAAACTGCATGAAATAGGCTTAAAAAGTGGAGCCCATCTCAAACGGGTCTAAGGCGGCACCCTCTTACTTTAAAACACCCCCGAGCACCACCGCGGGCCACTTTACCTGTGCAGCCAGTCCAGGGCAGGTCTAGGAGGCGAAAACTCCAAGCGATGTTTTATATGTAAATCAAGAACCCCCAGGGAGCGGAAGGCGACTTCAGGGACTCCCCGGCGGGGTGCAGAAAGTGGGGGAGGGGGGGCGGTCTGCCCTCCCGGAGACCGGTGTCCCGGGACCCTCTGGACAAGAGTGGCTCACGGGCTCCCCCGGAGCGGCCGTGCCAGGTCGTCTCCCAGCTCCCGCTGCCCACGCCCTTCGCGGACCCCGATGCCTCGGGGCTAGACGGGGAGACGCGCAGCCCTAAGGATGGGGGTTCGCGGCGGCAGCCACAGCCCGCACCCCTCGCCCCAGCCCCCCCGCTCGGCCGGGGCGCCCCGGCCCCCCCATCGCCCGCGGCCCCTCCGCGAGGCCGGAGGGAGACTTGGCAACTTACTGGGCAGCGCTCGGGCCGCGCCTGCAGTGGGTGGAGGGGGCGTGGCTGGAGCGGGTCGGGTCCGCGGCTCGGGGACT